TCTTTGTTCAATTCATCTGCCAAATTTGCATATACCATATCACCTTCTTCAAATGTAATTGCTTTTTGTTTCTTGTTAANTCATATGCAATACTGATTACACCTCTTTTAGCAATTTGGTGTTCTTCTTCGACCATTTCCTCTTTGCAATATTTCTTCAATGGTCTTTTAATCATTTTGATGTACATTGCTGAACATCTAATGTGATCAAATTTTTCCAAATAACTTATTCCAGTTCGGTTCTTCTCCATGCGTAATTCGTCAATAATATCACATGGGTTTACGAGATGAATATGAAATTCACCTTGAACAATTTCTTTGGCAATGTCATGCGAAGATTTTCTCCAAATCAATGGATATCCAACAGTTTCTGGTTTGGCTTCCTGAACTTGATTAACCAAAACCAACATCAAAAGTTGTGCGATAATGATTGGATTCATTTTTTTTTCTTTAATATCTTCAAATTCTTTTTCCTAAAAGGCAAAGAGACAAAACAAAAAAGCACTGATTATTTCGTTGTTTCAATACTATTACATTATAACAGGTTCATGATATGGTTTCAATTTTCCAATATGCACACGTTCAATTCTATTTGGCAACTGTATCTCATACATTCGATCAGATATTACTTTGCAAATCTTAAAGGGTCCTTGAAAGACCGCATCCAATTTCTCTTTGTTCAATTCATCTGCCAAATTTGCATATACCATATCACCTTCTTCAAATGTAATTGCTTTTTGTTTCTTGTTAATTCTTTTAACTGCCTCTTTATGAGAATTCTGGCTATTCGTGAAAGCCAATTCTCTGATTTCTGCTAGATCCTTTCCAATGTACAATTCATCAGGATCATAACCTTTTAGTAAAAATGCTGGTGTATAACCTGTTGCACAATGAATTGTCAGGTTATATTCTTCAATGGCTTGTTTAGCCAAAACTGACCAAGATCTCGTTGGTTCAATAATCTTTTTACATCGTAATTTTTCAACCAATGTTTGACCAATTCTTTCGACCATTCCGTTACTTTGAGGGTGAGCAGTTGGAGTAAAAATTTGTTTAATACCTTCTGCTATCATCTTCTGTTTTAATACTTCTGATTTCAATGCACCATAACGATCAGTAACAATCATTTCAGGTTTACCATCCTGTTTTATCAGATCAATAAGTTTAATAAAATCTTTAGCCATTTGTCCGTCAGATGTCCTTGCCCAAACATAGCGTGAGAACATATCAATAGCCAAATGACAATACCTTAATTTATTCTTTGGATCTGAAAAACCTCCTTTGGTATCAATATGAATGATTTCGAATGGTTTCTTTGCTGGTCCAATCTGTCCGATTTGTCCCAACTTCTTAACTTGCTTTTTGCCTCTTTTGCAAATATCACAACCATTCACTACATTTATTGCTATTTGATTTTGATTAGTAGCATAATATTTAGTAGAGAAATGGAGTAACGTTTTCAATATGCCGAGATGTCCTTTTTCAACATGAATTCTTTGCATCTCTTCTATTGCAATTTCTTTAGGCAAATAGTATCTGGTCTTTTCATTATTGGTTTTTACGATGAATTCATTTTGCTTTATACAACCTTTCGGTAGGTTGTTCATAATTGGTTCATAAATTTCTTGCAATTTCTTTAATGACAAGATATTAATTTCAGGATCTGGATTTCTGCTGAAATAATAAGTTTCGGGATCATAATTCCTTTTTGGAATTTTCATTAAATTGTTTTCGATTTCTTGTTTATCATCATTTTTCTCATCTTTGATTACTATCTCTTCTTCTTCAACTGTTGCTTTCTCTGCTTTTGATTCTTCAAAATTTGGATTTCTTGATAAGAAATCTGCTTCGACATTGTTTTCTCCCTTGATGTATTCAATACTAAAATCATATTGATTCAGTCTCATTGCCCAATTCATAATTCTGGTATGCGTCTTCTTATGGGAATTTAAATAACGTAACGGTTTATGATCTGTTCGAATAGTAAAATGTCGTCCATATAAATTATGATGCCAGTATTCTACTGCTTCAATAATTGCTAGTAGTTCCTTTTCTGACACGGAATAATTTTTCTGATATGGCAACAATTTTCTGGAAAAATATCCTACCGTTTCTTCTTGACCATCCTTTTCTTGTTTAAGGATAGCTCCAATTCCAACATCTGACGCATCAGTTACTAGAATTGTTTTGGCTTCGGGATCAAACATTTTCAATACGAGTTTCGAAGTAATTATTTGCTTAACTACTTGAAATGCTTCTTCATGTACTTTTTCCCATTTGAATGGAGTTGCTTTCTTTAGTAGTCCATAAAAAGGGTTCAAAGTATTGGTTCTACTTGGAATAAATCGGTGATAAAAATTTATTTTTCCAAGGAATCGTCTTAATGTCTTCTTATCCGTTGGAGATGGATAATCAATAATTGATTGAATATTACTATTCAATGGAGCAACAGTATTTTTAGAAATTTCATGTCCAAGATAGATTACAGATGGTTTCATAAAGTGACATTTTGATTCTTTGAGCTTTACGTTTTCTTTTTGTAATGCTTGAAACACTAATTCTAAATGTTTCAAATGTTGTTGTCTATCTTTAGAAAACACAATTATGTCATCAATATAATTGTGTGCAAAAGATGTCAATTCGTGTTTCTTCAATAAATTATAAACAATACGTTGAAAGATTGCCGGAGCATTCTTTAATCCAAAAGGCATTACATTCCATTCGTAGTGCTCATGCATTGTTACAAATGCAGTCTTTCTTTTATCTTCAGAAGCCACTTGTATATGATGAAAACCAGATGAGATATCTAATGTTGTAAACAATTCAGCATCCAACATTTTATTTTCAATATCTTGTATTAATGGCATCGGGTATCGTTCCGGAATCGTGATGGTATTGAGTTTTCGATAATCAATACACATTCTGGTTTTCTCTCCATCATCTTTTTTGTTTACCAGAACCACTGGGAAAGAATAATCCGATGTTGATTTTCTGATTGCATTTCGACCCAACAATTCTTTTACTTGTTGATCGATACGTTCCTGATCTTTTACCGTTGTTCTGTACGGTTTCAAGTTGATAGGGATTGGATTTTCCAGGTTAATATAACAATATTCACCTTTGATTTGACCAATTTCCCCTTTCTCTTTTGCAAAAACATCTTCATATTTATTGATCAATGCTTGCAATTCTTCATCTAAATTTTCTTTTAATTCTATATTTTCTGCATCAATTCGATTTTTATATTCACGTTGCGATTCAACCATGTAATTTCTTCTGTCTATTTTCTGAAAGACTATTCCATTTACGTCACGATAGATGCGAAATTTCTTCATTGCATCAACTCCAATGATGACGTCATGATTGATCGGCAATACGTAAAATTGATGATTTCTGACCATAACACCAATTTGAACTTCGATCTTTACTATTCCTAATGCTGCTGTTTCTGATGTGGCTTGATTAACAATTATTTTACCTTTTTCTACCCAAGGTAATTCCAATTGTTTTCTGATTTCTTCATTAATAAAACTGTGGGTTGAACCACTATCAAACAGAGCTTCAAATTGTTTTTCGTTCAATAAAATTTTAATTTTTGTTAATCCAGGTGTTGTTAGTCAGGAAATCTGCTGTGATTTGTCTTGTTCTGTGACTTCTTTAATCTCAGCATTGGCTCCGCTAATATTCTGTGTTGAGACAGCTGCAGATATTGGAGCTTCTATTCTCGGTACAGTATTTTGTTGATAATACTGTATCTGAGGTTGTGATCTTCTATATGTCTGCATAGGCATATTCTTTCTATAACAAAGCAAATATGAGTGATTACCACCACAAAGAAAACATCCACTTTTCACTGGACACTCTTTAGTGGTATGGTTCTCACTTAGGCATTTGAAGCACAGATTTTTCTTGATCATGATCTGTTTCCTTTGCTCCAAATTATAGAAACAATTTCGTGATTGATGCGATTGTTCACAAAATCGACATTTCTTCATGTTCTGATTATTATTGTTATTATTTTTGTTGTTATTCTGCACAAAATTATTCTTGTTGTTACTCGGCACAATACTATTATTCTGAGCTGGTGACCTTCCTGAGAATGATGCTCTTCTGGTCAAAGGCGATTGCGCTTGTGGTACTGAGACTACTTCAGCCCGAATTTTCTTCTCAATTCGTGGCTTTGGCTTTTCTTCTTTCTTGGTCAAATACCTCCATCCATCGATATATGTCTCAGCATCATGAAAGAATTTATGAATTCTTTCAGGTCTTCCTGTGAATTCATTAGATCTGTCCAATATTACTCGAGGAAACTTTTTAGAAACTTCCAAAAAGAAGTCCCTCTCCAAAAAATACTGATATAACGGTTCATCTTTCAATTGTTCATATCTGTTTCGTACAATACCTAAATTATCTCTCAGCTGTTCGCACTCAGATGGATCCATTATTGCTGGAACTGTTTTCAATTCTTCCATAATATCTTCCTTTATCAAATTCGGATTACAATATTCTTTGGTTAATATGCCATATACTCTTTTATAATCCTGAATACCATGAATCAATCCTTGACTTCGTTTGTCAATTTTCCGATTCAATAACGTTATCTTGTATTCATCTGGAATAGGCATAGTTCCAACAATCTGTGAAAATATTCCAATAAATGATTTAAAATTCCTGGCTCTTCCATCAAAATTTGGTACAATATCGACTTCCTTGATCTTAAATGTCTTGGTGTAGTCAACTGGTGGCATTGTCATTGGCCTACACCATGCATCCACTACTTGATCTTGTTGATTGAATGATATAGGTGGACAATAACTTCCAGTGCCAAAAGTTGTTGTTGGTTGTTGCTGCTGCTGCACATTCATTCTTTGTGCAGACATCCATGCCAAATTATTCTGCACCAGATTGGTCAATTGACTCATCTGTTCTTTTAGTTGTGCTAAATCATTATTAGTAACTGGTGTAATATTTTGAGCCGTTTCGAAATTTCCTCCAGATGGTGTTCCAAATGGAGTGGAATGTGTATAAATTGGTTTCGGCAATATCTGAGTCTTTATTTTTGGACTCAATAATGATTTTCGGTATGTTTGCCCCATTGTTGGATATGCACTAATTGGGGTATTAAAATTTTCTTCTAAATTGTAATCTTTAGAAGTTCCTTGTATCATAGACTGTTTCAATTCAGACAGCTTGATACTTCTGGACAAACTAGGTTCTTTACCGTATAATTCATTGAATTCATTTTTCAATTGGATTATTTTCTTTTTCATGGTCTGTGTCAACTGAATCATATCTGCCGCTTGTCCTTGATCAGGTAACTGAATCTTCTTTTTCAGCTTGCCCCATTGTGTCAAATTATTTGCCACTTCCAGGATGCTATTTTCATGTTCAGTAACTCGATAGTCTAGGACTTCCAACTCGTCTCTAGTTATATCTTTAGGAAAGTTCTTTGCAAGATTATCTAGAACTTTGTATGCTTCATGATATCTTTCAATTTTTCTTGAGATATCACGTTCTTGGTCATCATTTTTCTTGTGATCACTCATTTTCAATAACTTTCACAAAGTTTTCAAAATAATCAAAAGAAATTTTCAACTTACAGAAATAGTGTTTCTTGTAATCTTGACTTTTTCGGATTGTTACCAGGATAGATTTCAAAAATATCCTACTGGCTTGTAATGAACGGCAATTTTCGTTCCAAAATTATCGTTAAATCTGCAACTATTTTAACTGGCGTGGTAACAACTGATTCGATCCAAATGTTGAAATTCCGTCAAACAATTTTGAAGATCGATTGGGTCAAAAGTTTACACACACAATTACAAATAAATTGAAAATTTATTAAATAAAATAAAGTAAATTCACAAGATTATAATGTTGATAAATAAAAATTTACAAAGAATAACAAAATTTCGACGAGATAATTTCTGCTTCAAAATTACGGCTTCTTAAAATGTTAGATGTTATATCTGATGATATGATTCAAATAAGATGATTCAAGACGTTGATTAAAGACAAGACAATTTTCTGTTGATTTTCAGTCCGTCTTATATACGAAATCCAATGTTCTCTTCAAGGAAATCTGTTTCTCTTTCTTAACACTTTCCTTTGTCCATAAGTCAGTTGACCTATTTCCATTTTATTAATCACAATTCAGGGCGTTGTCCATTCATTTAATCATACGATTTGTTTATTGCGTCCAATTTGATTAATTACCATAATTATCATTCAGCCATTTTCCATGAAATCAACAAGTTACTTTGTAATTAATTTTCGCAACTTTCCCTTTTGAATTTCATTGAACAGCCACTTGTAACGCAATTTCAATAAAAATTAATGAGATGATTAAAATTAATGTCTGGCCATAAATCGAAAATGTGCAATAATCCATTATCCTTGGAATTAATTGCTGCCCAGTTGAACTATTGGCCTCATTTCCATGGACTTCCTCCCATCGTGATTAAAACTTCATTGGTTCCATTCGTAAATATCAGGACGAATTCTTCAATACATAACATCCCCCCACTAAAATAAAACTTTGGGCGGGTTACCCTTCGCGGATTTTGGTCGCCGTATGTGAAAACATTATCTGAAAACAATACTTTGTGTTCTTTGTTTCCTATACAATATCATTATTAATTAATGTTTGTCTGTGATTTACAATGACTAAAAATTAATTAATAATAGATCAATAAAAATTAATGGCTATTAATATTATTGATTTCGAAAAATAAAATTAATGTGTCTGAACAAAAGAAATTATTTTTTTTCTATACAATGTTTTTCCAAAGAAAATGTGCATGCTTGTTTTTTTTTCTAAAACTAATAGACTGATAGGGAAAAAGTTCGTTCATGCAATTATTCCCCTACTTTTAGTCATGCAACTTGTAAAACAACGTGTTTTTATCGGCGACAGATTGTCGCGTTTTTTCCTAGATATCATTTTCTTTTGACTATGCCTTTTTGATATCATTCCTAAAAATAAGTTAATGTTTTTATTATAAATGAAATTATTATTAAATAAGAAAAAAAAATGTTCAAGGAAATACAAAAAAAGTAAATCATTCTAGATTTAAACTTGGATCAATGGTGGAAGTGGGATATGTTCCTCTGGTGGTGGTGGTGGTGGTGGGAAACGATATCGGTTTGAAAAGCATTTTCGTTTTACCAATTTACAAACCATAGCCACAAAATACAGGATCAGGTTGAAAACGAATACACTAAATAATCCAAATAGGAAATCGAATGCGTGTTCTTGTTGAATTTGGAATACACAAGTGATTTTGTCCTTAATAGTTCCATGATTTTCAGCGACCGATTCACATCCAATATTATTACCAGTTTCCTTTTCGTCTGGTTTTTCGTTTTCATCAATTTTGGCCAATTCCGAAATTCGTTGTACTGATGGTGGTACGTCCATTGTTTTCAAATCAATCGGTGTTGTTGATGATGTTGATGATGATGATGTACCAGTTAGTTTCTTGTTCCAAATTTTTAAAATTTCATCATCGGACATGTCGTGGTAATGTTGTTGATAAGTGACAACGGTACCAATCAAATTTATAATTATCAAAAATTTGAAAATTATTTCTAATGAAATTTTCAATTTCATTTTCATCATCATTATTGTCGTTGTTGTTGTTGTTGTCGTTGTTTCAAAATTAAAAATATTGATAAATGACTTTTCCGAGAGAGGCTCATTGCTTTTTATACAGGATTCTGCAATATTCGATTACCATTCACTGTATAATTCCTTCACCCCCTCTGGACTGAATCCATGACTACTCCTACACTTGAGCCATGCTGATCATCTCACTGCGTAAGGCATTTTCCAGCCTTTCTCGACGCATCGT